TTTCAGAAGCTGTAACCCCCCCATGGCTAAGGCTGAGTAAAAAGACCTTGGGACCATAAGCCACTAAGGAGACAAAGCTTATACCCCCGGAAGGGGTGCAGCCTCTGCCCCCTTTACTTCACCTTGCTTGGCCCCAGGCAGATGACTGATTAGCCAATGATGGGTAAGATTCCTTAGGGGAGGGACAACCTAAGACAGGTATGGTGGAGAAAGGGTCATCAGAGAAGGACTTAGGGGACTATAGAAAAGGGGTGATGGACCTTCACCCCTCAGCTTTATCATAGCCTGAGTCCTCATTCTATGTGTAAAAAGTCTCCTAATCTCTTGGCTGTCCAAATCCCCCACCTGATTTTAAGCTTGAAACAATGCTAGAGGTGGGTGTGACCCTGTGCTGGAATGGGCAGTTTCTGGGGGCAATCAGGCCTAAGAAAGAATACATAAAATCCCAGGAAACCTGCTTTGCTAAGAATACCCTTAATTTAAGTGATAAGGGTCCAAGCAGAAAATGAGTTTGTTTCTCAGTTTTATGGCCCTTTGCCATCACTATATCTATCTGACTCTGACTCAGAAAAGCCTTCATACTTCTTTGAATGTTATCTATTGTTTGACCATTACTGCCTGACAATGACTGATGAGCTTTACGTATACACCCTGTATTCCTGTGCAAATTAAACCCAATAAAAGTCCATTGAGGAACAGGCTCAAGGCCCTTCTCCTTTGAGAGACTGGCTACCTTTCCTCTCCAAGCAGTTCATGTCTTAGTAGACTTATTCTCATGCAAGGTGGCCCCGGGGGAGCTTTGCTGGATGAAGCCCCCCCACACTAGGTAACTCAGAAACAAGGTGAGTGGGTGTCCACCCAACATGAAGCTGCTGAAGACTTCCTATTGACATTATTTCATTCAGGTCAGGCTGAGGCAACATCCTAATCTTCCTGAAGCAGGTTTCTCTCTTGGGCAGACTCTCTTAGGCAGGAAATGGGGGTGGTCAAAGGCTCCCTCTTAGTCTTATTTCTTTTTCTTTTTTTTTTAAAGATTTTTATTTATTTATTTTTAGAGAGGAAAGGGAGGGAGAAAGAGAGAGAGAGAAACATCAATGTGCGGTTGCTGGGGGTCATGGCCTGCAACCCAGGCATGTACCCTGACTGGGAATCAAACCTGCGACACTTTGGTTCGAAGCCCGAGCTCAATCCACTGAGCTATGCCAGCCGGGGCTATTTTTCCTCTTAGTCTTATTTCTTAATAAACAGCTTAAAATCAATATACTAAAATGGCAGCTTAGGATAACAAAATTGAGTCCCCTCACTTGAAAAGAATTTGAGCTATGCAATCTTTTTCCATGATAGTTTCCTAAGCTCACTACTAGATGTTTGTGCCTGCAAATATAAATAAAAAAAAAACACTTGACATTTTACCTCTTGAATCTGGGTGTAGGGGGTGTCCTCCGTCCCAGTCATGTGTTTACTAGTTATTGTACAGCCCTGCACTTTTTCCTGTGCAAGGAAGTGACGGGAAGGAACTTTGCAAACTGCCCCCTAGGGACACCTGGGGATCAAAAGCGATTGGTGAAAAATTCAGAAGAGACTTTTTCCAGGTTGCATATTTAACTGATAAACCAAGCATGTTTTAAAGTTAAATACAGGCCAAAAAGGGAAGAGGGGATAGGGCACCTTAAATGCTTGCCAAGGAGTTTCAACTGTCTCACTCCATCTAGTTCTTTCAAGTACTTGTTTTGTTCTTTCCAAAAATTGGGGGTGGAAAATTACACACGCACACACCAAAAAGGGGCCCACTGACTACTTCCCTTCCTCTGTTGAGAGGATCCTCCCTGTATTGTTTTGTTTTGTTTTCCACACTCTTGGCATGATCAGAAAGTCTTGCTTCTGTTTCCGGGCTGTAGCAGAGCACTTTTATTTTTAACCTTTTCATAGCAGAAAGTGTCACCAGGTGTTTCAGCCTAAAGACAAGCTTGGTCAAACCCTGAGAATATCTGCTGTGAAGCTAGTACCACCCAAGGACTCGGCCAAGCTCCGCCTGCCCATCCACCCCATGCAAACCCAGATGCCAGTGGGAGACCTGGGCCAGTGGGTGTGCTGCAAATGGGCAATTATGCAATTCTGTTATAATAAAGGCGGGAAAGCTGGACTTCTTTTTCTAAAGCGAAGCAAGGCAAATTCAGGAGATGGTTGAAATGACAATAATTTCATACTCATTACTCCTATAGCACATTATGAGAATTAAAATTAGTAGGCTGCCTGGTACATGGTAACATTGAGTAAATTGCTTCTGTTACGGATGAGCAATAGCAATTACTGTAAATGCAACTGAGTGGCTGCTGGTTCAACATTCCACCTGAAATTCCTCTTTCCAAAATGTGTGTGTCTCATGATTTCAAAAATATAGTCTTGTCTTGAATCTAGTCTTCAAGGTAGTGCTTACTTTTAAGTGTTTGGTTTGTTAGGAGAAATATTCATGTTAAAGTAAATTTTAGAACTATCTTGAATTAGAGTGGTGAGTGGACATCCTGTCTTATTCCTAATTTCAGAGGGAAAGCTTTCAGTCTTTCACCATTGAGTATGATATTGGCTGAGGGTCTGTCATACACGGCCTTTATTATGCTGAGATACTTTCCTTCTATACCCATTTTATTGAGTGTTTTAATCATAAGTGTCTGTTGTATCTTATCAAATGCTTTTTTTGCATCTATTGATAAGATAATGTGATTTTTATGTTTTCTTTTGTTAATGTGGTGTATTACCTTGTTCAAATTGCATGTGTTGAACCATCCTTGTGCCTCTGGAATGAACCCCACGTGATCGTAATGAATTATTTTGTTACTGTATTGTTGTATTTGATTTGCTAGTATTTTGTTTGGGATTTTTGCATCTGTATTCATCAGAGACATTGGTCTGTGGTTTTTTATTCTAGTGTTATCTTTGCCCATTTGGTAACAGGATTATGTTGTCCTCATAAAATATGTTAGGAAGTATTGCCTCCTCTTCAGTTTTTTGAAAGAGTTTGAGAAGAAGAGATAGTAAATCTTCTTTGGATGTTTGATAGAATTAACTAATGAAGCAATCTGGTCCTGGACTTTTATGTTTGGGGAGGTTTTTTTTTTTTAAGATTTTACTTATTTATTTTTAGAAAGAGGGGAAGGGAGGGAGAAAGAGGGAGAGAAACATAGGTGTGTGGTTGCCTCTTCTACGCCCCAAACTGGGGACCTGGCCTGCAACCCAGGCCTGTGCCTTGACTGGAAATCCAACCAGTGACTCTTTGGTTCACAGGGTGGCGCTCAGTGCACTGAGCCACACAAACCAAGGCTGTTTTGGGAGGATTTTGATGGTTGTTTCAATTTCCTCACTGTTGATCCATCTATTCAGATTTTTCCATTTCTTCATGATTCAGTCTAGGAAGGTTATACAATATCACCCCAATAAAAATAAATAAAAAACTTCTTTTAGAAGAGGAAAAAATGTTTAATGGAAAAAAGTGAATTTTATCACACTAAAGAGGTTTCTCTTATATACAGGACAGAGCATTGTATATTTTTAAATGATATTTATTATAAATTTTAAGTCAGACATATTTGCTGTGGGAGATTAAATGATACATATACACAGAAATCTCACTGGTTTGCCATCATCTAGCTATATGGTCATTAGTACAGTTCATGAGACATGGACACTATATAAAAAAAGGGCTTTTATTAAAACCACTGAAAATGCACGCTATTTAATATTCTAATTTTTCCACCTACACCGGTACTTTTTTTAATCCTCACCTTAGGATACGTTTACTGATTTTGGGGAGTGAAAATGGGTTCGGGGGGGAGAGAGAGCGCGCTCAAGAGAGGTATATGTCCACTGGGAATCAAAGTGCAACCTTTCTGGTAGGCACGCTCCAACCAACTGAGCCACACAGGGCAGGGCTAACAGACTTTCCATAGATCTTCCGCCCACCCCCAATACTGGTGTTATTTATTGATCCTCCCTCTTAAAAGGGAGTCACAGCACGCAACAAAACTCTCAAAGTTGTCGGAAACCAGCCCGAATGCAGACAAGCTCGAGGATTGACGCGGAGTTGCGCAACAGTAACTGGAAAAGACACCGGCGTTCTGGCTGCCTGTCACTACCAAATCCAATAAGCAATGACAGTGATTGAGTCTTTTATGGGCACTTTATTCAGATGGCCGGAGATCCGAGAAGATGGCGGGTTCATACCCTAACAAACCATCTTCCCTTCTCTTTCCCGGCCAGATCTTGTATAAAGGGGCGTGGGGGAGGACAAACAAGGTGCCGTGAGGGCTTTGAGATTCAGAAGCTGCAACATTTCTGTCCTGGGCAGTTAGCTGTTCCCAAGGTGGGGTGGGGGGTGGGGGGTCATACAAAAGGCGAGGATGCCTCCAACTTGTCCCCAGGTGGTAATCTCTAGCCTGTGCCCCAGGAGGTCGGCTGTTTTTTTCCAGGAGCCAGGATGGGCCTTATCTGTAGTTTCCGAAACAAAAGCTTTAACATACACATTATTTGCTAGGCTTGTAACTTTTTACCTTAAGCTAAAATTTTCCAAGTCTTGAGTCCCCTATCACAACTAGTTACTGATTTACAGAGATCCGAAGTCCCGGCGCAGTTTACTTGGTGGGGACGGGAAAGGGTCCCTTTTACAAACAGCTGCCACTGGGAGCAGAGACAGACCACAGGGCTCTGTGAGGCGTGGACCCCGGACAGGCAGGGAGGAGGACAGTCTTGTCCCTCTCGGTCCAGCGCACACCTTGGCTAAAGGTGTCAAGCCCTGGACTCGGTGGGACAGCGCCCTGGGCTCAGACGCCCCAGCCGGACGCCCTGCCTGCGGGGGCCTGACAGGGTTCGGAACTGGGCCAGTGGGAGACCCTGCCTTTTGTTTGTGAGGCGGGAAAAGGAAACACCGCCCTCCGGATTCTTTCCCGGAGACCACGTGCCTTTTAGTCCTCTCGGGGGGCCTATTTTCCTGCGTCCCCGCCCACCACCTGTGATAGGTGTTCGTCGGGGCTCCCCGCCCAGACGGGTGTTATTACGGCGAATTGCTGCTGCCTGGGCGTCACTCGGAAGACTTCGATGGCTCCGCTGGGTCGCCCTCGCTGGCAACCCGTACCGGGAGCGCTCTCCGAAGGCTACGGGCAGCGGGCACTCGGGCGCGCCTCAGCCCTCGGCTCCAAGCGGGGACCCAGGCCTTGGCTCTGGCTCCTCCTCGCCCTGATCCTCGTTCTCTCCGGTGAGCACCTGCCGCCGTCCCGGGCGGGGAAGGCGCGCCTGGTGGCCGGGAGGGGGAAGGGGACGCGACGGGGTACCCGGGGCACGTCGGGGCATGCTCGGGCAGGTCCCGCAGGACGAACCGTGGTCAAGTCCAGGGAAGAGCCGGGGGCCGGCCGGGCAGCAGCCCACCGGGCCGAGGGGAGGAGGCGCGCGAGCTTTCCCGGCCCTCGAGGGGGCTGGTAGGATGAGTTAATTCCCGGGAAAGTCCGGGAAGTGCTCCAAAGTCAAGTCGGAAAGTCCCGGAATCGTGGGGAGCGACCGGGAAATTGGCTTTCTATATTTTTCTTTTAATTTTTTTATACTTATGTTTAAATTCTATGACTTGGCTATCGCAAATCAACTAGCCGGCAGCCCGATAATGTCGCTTTTCTTTTTTCTGACTTGAAGCCGTTTCAGTTCTGAACCTTGAACTCCACTTACTTCCAGTCAAAGTAAACGGCAAAGTAAACGGCCTTCAGCTGACCTTCAGATGCGCGGTCGAGGGTCGGGGGCTGCCGGGGCTGCAAAGCTTCTCAAACTGGAAAGGCAGTGTTGCGTGGCCCGAAGAAAAACAAACAAAAACGCCACGTGAGGCTCCACCCCCTGGCACTTTGAAGGTTCCTTCTGTTAAAAAATAAAAGTAAAATCAAATGCCAAACCAGCGTTAGAGGGATCACAAAGTTTTACATGTTTTTTACTTAACAAATTAATTCAAAATTCAAGGAAGTGGTAGATATATATATATATATATATATATATATATATATATATATATATATATATACACATTTGAAGCTCATACCAAATACCATTAGAAGTTTTATGTCGGTCCACGCAGACTTCTCTTACTCTTTTTAACAACAGCACAATGTTTTACTGTGTGGATTAAGAAACATCAGTGGTCTCTTGACTCTTATGAATCTGTTTCTAGATTATATCCTGTGTGTGATTTGCTAATTCCAGCTGCACTGTAGTATGTACTGTCGTATGTATCACATGCCCACGTGTACCTTGTATTTCATAAATCCTTAGAAGTGAAACTACTGTGTCAGTGGGATTTCATTTTATATTTTTGTTTAGACAATGAGAAACTGCTCTTCAGAGGATGGCTGAACCATTTTACCTTCCCACGAAGAATCCACAGTTTTCTGTTTCCCTATGCTCTTGCCACACTGAATAATTCTTTGTGAAAAGTGGGACACAGTGTTGTCGTGGTTTTGATTCCTTGTTGCTAGCAGGGATTTTCAAGAACCCAGGATATTTCTGAAGCTGGGAGTGATGACCAGGAGGTCAGGTTAGGCAGCAGGGGGAGAGGGTGGCAGGTGGGCTGGAATCCTAGCTGTGCACTTGAACTGAGTGTCTCCTGGTGACACTTCTGCCCCCAGCCCTGCCTGTACTGTGATGAGCCCACACCTATGGGCTGCTGGAAGGATTTTATCAGATGTGGCCCAGAACAGCCCTATTTCTCTTCAAGACTTTTCCTCCCCAGCTGCCTCTCTGTCAGAGCAGGAACTGTGTGGTTCAGTTTCAGGAGCTCAGTCAGGCTGTGTGTCTTGATAAAGCTGGAGACACCAGGCCTGCCCTGCTCCTTTCCAGCTTTGGGACCGTGGTATGCCACCCCCACCCTCACCCCATTTTTTCATGTGTCAAGTGGAGAGGACAGGAAAGTCTGCAGTGCCCCATTGTAAACCCTGAGGGCCGCGTGGGAGGGTTGGTACCTGGAGGGCCATAGGCACATGGTCTCCACCCCAGTTGTGGCCGCCCCCTGCTTGTATGGGCACCTTGGTATGGGCTTTAGGGGGTGGCAGGGGCTTTTGAGGCACAGGGTGGGCAGCTGTGTCACAGGGGTCGTGGGGGAGAGCAGGAGCCCAGGCATCGAGTGAGGCAGTGGCAGCGTAGCAGGGCCATAGGCCTGCAGTCCCCCAGTGCTTTCAGTCCTCCCTCTGGAGGACCACCCCAGGCCTCCTACGAAGTCCACAGCCCCTGTCTTAGACCACACTCCCTTCCCCAGGGCTGGAAGAGAAGCATGCCTCCACCTTCCAGGTCTGAGTATCTTGGGGCAGCTTGTATCCAGCACTCAGCTGGGCAGTGTCTTCCATTAATCAGTCTAATTTTGCTAACAACCTGGGAGATAGCAGCAGTTTCCACCTACCTTACAGGCAGGAAATGAGTCAGAAGGAAAACATTTTTAATATTATTTTTGCCTGATCTGCTTCATTACAGCAGCTATGTTATTATTGCCTGGGAAAATCATCTCCTGCCATTTGAGTTCAAGTAAGTGGGAGAAGTGGAAAAAGAGAGAATGGAGCTCCTTGTACCTAACACCCTAGTGCTTATGTAGTGGACACAAGGCCCTCAGGCCAAATCCTGCCCTCTACCTGGTTTTATCCGGCCCTGCACCTTGTTTCTACCCGGCGGCAGCACCGAGCTCCTTGCCCCTAGTTAAGGAGTAGTTACATTTGTACAGCCCTAAAATTACATTCGGCCCTTTGAAGGCCACCACGAGGGTGATATGTGGCCCCTGGTGAAAATGAGTTTGAGAGCCTTGGCTGGCAGAGCTCAGTGGATTGAGCGTGGGCTGCGAACCAAAGTGTTGCAGGTTTGATTCCCAGTCCGGGTACATGGCTGGGTTGCAGGCCATGACCCCCAGCAACTGCACATTGATGTTTTTCTCTCTCTCTTCCCCGCTCCCTTCCCTCTCTAAAAATAAATAAATAAATAAAATCTTTTAAAAAATGAGTTTGACACCCCTGCCCTACTGGGCTAGCACTTTAGGCATCTGCTATCTTGGACCTTTACATTTTGGGGTGTTTGCTTTTGCTTTGTTCTCTTAAAGTGGGCTGGGTACTAACTATTCTGGTTACAGTAAAAACTGCTTATTAGTATGATATTCTGAGATTTACTTTTACATTTTATGCCAGTGCTACATTTGCTTTATTTGGGGGCTAAATTCATGAACTACTGTCAATTAGGCATTTTGTTGCCAGAAAGGGCTTGTTTGGAAAAAAGTAAAGGGCTATATAACCTCTGTGCACCGACATGACAAGCCACACGCACTCTGGCCTGCTGGCCCCGAGTGGAAAAGGAAGTTAAGGGCAGGGGAAGCTGGAGCTGTGTAGTTTTATTAGGAATGTAGAGTTCTTCCTGTAGGGCTCTCAGGTACTCCCCCGAAACTGGAGTGGATGTGAACTTCCGGAAGCTCTCGCCTCTCTCATAGACCCACCCAACTGATCTGAAAGTCCCAGTTAGTTTTTATCATTTCCCCCTGTGGTTCGAGATCTTTCTCTGAAAGCATCACTGATGGAAAGTCAGGTCTTCCAATTTCAGAGGCTTTTTTCGTTCCTCGTGTTGGGAAGGACCTCTTCTGGGTGCCTCTCACACCAGAGGGGAAGTGCATGGATCGACTCTAGGGTTGACAGGCAACAGGTGCAGAACTTAACAAGAATTTAAAACAGAATTAGGGTAACGACTTAGTTACAGGATGAATTTAAACCAGGAGCTCAGATCAGACCTGTAGATGATGAAACACAGACTATTATTATCTTGGGTAGATCCAAGTTCTTGATGACCGATTTAATAACCAGAAAAGGTCCCTCCCCCACGTTTTTAAACCCCCCCCCTTCACATTAGCTTAGGGAAGGTAAACAAGGGCACATTTCTTGCAAGGAAAAGAGAAAAATTAAATAAGAATTAATAGTAAGAGAAGCGTTGTACAGGCCAGACCTAGTGGTTTCGGTAATTTTTTCCTTCAGAGGTCGCCGGCTTTAGTCTTTGACAGCTTTAGATTTAGGTCACCTCCGTGCAGTTGCACTCAGCGTTTAGAACCTTCTTCAGGAGGGACACACGGATCCAGAGTCTACTCCCTAGAGCTCAGCAGCACAAGGGTTTGTCATTACTGCCCTGTAAGGACCCTTTCCACGAGGCTGGAGGGAATCTCTTTTGAGGTGTCTTTTTCAGTGAAAAGAAAATCTCCAGGTTGTAGAGTGTGGATTTTGAGTTTTTTATTTTCTTAGTGGGCATTATGAAAAGATTGTTTACCATAGCATGATTATTTTCTTAAAAAAAGATTTTATTTTTTTTATTTTAGAGAGAAAGGAAAGGAGGAAGAAAAAGGAAGAGAAACACCCATTGGTTGTCTCTTGCATGTCCCTAACTGAGAATCTGGCCTGCAGCCCAGGCATGTGCCCTGTCCAGGAATCTAAGTGATGATCTTTTGGTTTACAGGATGATGCCCATCCCACTGAGCTACACCAGTCAGGGCAGCATGATTATTTTCAATAGAAGCAATTAAACCTTTACAATATTGAAATATGTCTCCTTTTACCAACTGTGCATCAAATGCATGGGGTGTCCTGTAATTATCTCAAAAGGTAAAAGTTTATGAGTTCCAAAAGGGGTAGATCTGAGATTTAAAAAGACTAACAGCAATGCTTTTGGCTAAGGTCTTTGGAGAGTTTCTACAAATTTTGCCAATTGAATCTTAATAGTGCCGAAAATATGTTCAACTAATCTTGAAGACTGAGGTTAGTAAGCATAGTGAGAGAGTTATTGAACTGGCCAAATAGCATAGACTTGCTGTTGCACTTGACCAAGAAAATGGCTTCTCCCATCACTGAAGTTCAAGAAGAGTTTCCCAGGTAGGGACAATCTTCTCTAACAGGACTTTGGCCACTGTAGAGGCATTAGCTTGTCTATAAGGGAAAGCTTCAGTTCAGTGAGAAAACATATGTATGACAACTGAAACATAATTTATATTTATCATATGGGGGAAGCTGTATAAAATCTATTTGCCAAACCTCAAATGGTCCATTAGGCGATTTAAAATGTCTAGGAGCAATGTGGATGGGCTTCCTGGGTTTTACTTTGCCCAGGGAGACACTTAAGGTAGGCACTTTTTGTGGTTGTGTTAATATCTCCCCCACTCCCAAATATTCATTCATGAAGTCTCTCCTTTGTCAGTGGATGAATGTTTTAATGCAG